ACACGATAGTGAAGGTTTCAAGTCGATATCTCCCACCGTTTTGCCGCAATCGCCGCGGAAAGTTGAAAAAAGTCTATTTTTCCGAAAATTTGACCTTTGACCGGTCAAAAGTAGGTCAAATGTTGACCTAGGACCAAAAAATATACCACCAATCGCGAGATCTCGGCGAGAGCAATCCGTTGGTCTTTTCCGCTAAGCTCTACGACGCTCCGTTTTCAAACGCCAAGGGGGGGTCGCACCAACCCCCCCCCCCTGCATGGGCGAAGGTGGCAGATCGCCGTTTACGGGCGAGGGTTAAAGTACTCATCTGAAGCGTCTCGTCGCGCTCTTTCGTTTGCCGCCTCGTGCGTTTCGCTGCGCCTATTGGTTCTCGAGTTATCGGCTGGGGGCGTTTAACGCCCCCCCCCCCCCCAGCAAACGGTGGGTGGCGAAATACCCCAGCAACTGCCGGGTTAAGACCGTCGCATTCCCATCCATTTTAGATTTGGGGTCACCACGAGATCGTATCGTCTTCTGAAAAAAAAAACTTTTTTTTTGTAGTCGGCAAGTACACTTCGTTCATAGATAGCCGTGCTAGTTTCTCGAATTGGACATTTCTGCGTGGTGTCTGGTCAACATTCCGTTTTAACTTTCCCCGTCCTAAGGGTGAAGGTGAGGAGGTGAGTGCCATCCCCTGACGGTTTTATCGCTATTGCTTAGAACGTGTCAGTGGCAAAACAAAACATCAGTTTCGACAAATTGTGCCCGTTTGGTGCCCATCGGTTGGCCTGAGGCTGAATGACTTACCAGCGATTGATACCTATATATTTTAACCCTCGCCCTGGCAGGGCATTTTTCATATGTAACACGGCCTGGCAGGGGGGGGGGGGGTCGATGCGACCCCCCTCGCGATTGGCTCCTATGGCACCTAGCAACACCAAATTTGGTAGGTAGGTGGGCCCCCTAGAATTCTCGCCCCTGTGCACATTTGATTGGTCTAGGTCAATATTTAGGGGGGTTTTGGGGGGTATAAATGTAAAAATTTCGCTAAAAACAGGTTAAAAGTTTTTCGATTATAACTTTTGATCTAATTAAGATAGAGCAAAAAGAAAAGCACCAGTGAACTCAGCACGTCAAGGCGCGTCGAATGATATACTTTTTAGCTTGCTTAAGTGTACTTAAAGTGTTTCTTAAATTTTAAGTAAACTTAAATTAATAAATTAAGTTAAAGTTAACCAAATTGCATCATATCGCATATCATTCGATTCGGCTGATCACCAGGAACACAATGATACCATTTTTTAAGCTCTAGCGTCATTATGTGCCAAGTTATTGGCAAAAACGTCATTTGACCTCAGTTGACCTCATTTGACCTGACCCATGGATAAGTACACCAAACAAAGAAGCATCAAGTGACCTGCTGTTAGGTACTGTGGTTTCAAAGCACAAAAGGGATAGAACGAAGCGGATATCTCCAGTATTTTCCGAATTTAGTTTAACATTACGACGTAATGACCTCTAACTGACCTCAGGTCAGTGACCTAAAAAACCCGAACTATATGTTATACAACTCGGTGAACTTAGCACATCCTGAAAGTTTGAAGGAAATCGGTGCAAAACTGTGAGTTGGACAGGTGCAAAAAGAAAATTGAAATTTGACCATGACCTTGTACCGGTTTTTCTGACCTGGTGACCTGACCCAAGGTCACCCGGACCTGAAATTTTCAGGTCATATGTAAAAAGGTTGCTCCATAGGCTCTAGCAAATTTGGCGGCGCTGCGCGCCGCCGTTTTTACGCTATCTTCGAAAAACCTTAGGGGGGTCGCATCGACCCCCCTGCCAGGGCGAGGGTTCAGCGCTATCGAATGCAAAGTTGACATACCCCATTTTCAACGCTTTGGATCTGATCCAACTTGAAAAGAGCTAGTTATGCGCTAATTTGCCTAAAATATCGAAATTCGTTTGCTATACGAGTTACGACACATATACGATGCCCTTTGTCCTTTGGTGACCTGAATTTTGAATTCAAGGTTATCACATTGTTTTTCCTTTTCATCACAACTTTCTAAGGACCGTTTACCGCTAATCGCTACATGGCCCGAGACCCAAGTTAGAAGGGGTTTTAAGACGCCTCCCGCCAGAAAAACCTGTGATTCCACGAGCCCCAGAGCGGACACGGGCAGACGGATCGCATTTTTGCGCACCATAGTCCAGAGGCCAGTTTTACCAACAGAAAAATAGCCGCCTGCCGGAATTCTTTGCTTAAGACCGCTTCACATACGGAATTAATCGGTAAAGCCCTATCCAATTACGTGCCAATCGCGCTTACGTATGTGAAACGGTCTTTAGGCAAAAAATTCCGGAATCCGGCAGGCGGCTATTTTGCTGTTGGTAAAACTGGCCTCAGAACAAAAAAAAAAAAAGTAATCATAGTGACACATTCAAGTTTCGTTGCATTTGGTCGTGCGGCTGAAGTTTTTCTCCAGTGATAGTTGATACACTGTGTCAACTGTCGGTGGGAACTGGGAGCCGACGCCCACCTGTCGTCTATCCGTCGAAACTGATGTGAAGCGGCCACTCGTGGCCAATTCTATGTAAACCAGGTAGAACGCTCCCGACGAAAAACTGGGGACAAAAATAAATTTAGTAACCGTGACTCTGGTAACCGTGACTCTGACTATTTAGTAACCGTAACCATAAAAATGCAAAAAGACTTGTTGGACCAGTGCAAGAATGAATGGCAATTTTCACAAACGATCCAATTCTTTATCAGACTGGCCTAAATAATATCAAAATCAATCCTAAACTGAACGGTCCGTACTGCCATAATACCTCTAACGCTCTGGCCCCTAAAATCATCACCAATAGGTAAGCGTCCAATATCAGCCAATAAGCGTCAACTATTGCCTTACGCTGATTGGTGGGATTATTGCATTTGTTGTTTAGAATGCTGACGGTTCCGACAGCATGTCCTGTCCCCACTTTTCGTAATGTTGAAAGGCCGGAGCGCACCCCCTGCAGGTGGCCAGTAGAGCGATAGTGGCGTCATCTGCTTCAAGGCTCACTCAGCTCACTAGCAACACCTGCATCCGCTGATCCGCTGACTTCGCTGCGCAGTGGCTGGACTGGGCTGGACGCCCTATGGCCAGGGTTGTGCTCGACTCAAAAAAATTTGCCGACTCGACTCATCATTCAACTTCAGAATGCCCTGACTCAACTCTGACTCAAACAAGGAGCTGATTTTTTCCCTTGACTCGACTCATGACTCAAGCGGCTCAATGAAAATATGAGTTGACTCAAACTTGACTCAAATTTTTTATTGAGCCAAGTGTGTTGACTCAAAATTGACTCAGATAAAAAAGTTGTTGAGCGGGGGGGGGGGGGTAAAAAAATCCGGCAGCAGGGCCAGGCCTAAGTTGTTAAGCGGGGGGAGAATGAAAAACTTATACTGTATATTGTTTCTAGAAAGTTGAGTCAGCTGACTCATGTTCCTAAATGTTTTTGACTCAACTCAATGTCAAAAGTTATTTTACTGACTCAACTCTGACTCAACTCAACACCTTAATATTTTTGTCCGACTCAACTCTGACTCAACTCAACAGCTCAACATTTTATCCGACTCGACTCAAATCTGACTCATTTGAGTCAGAGTTGAGTCAAATTTCTGACTCGACTCATGAGTCAAGCACAACCCTGCCTATGGCCTCTGCGGTGTGACTGTCACCCAATGGCACATTGCACATTGCACACGGTGTCACGAACCGGTGTCTCAAAGTCCTGGTGTTTCGGTGTTCGGTGTACGTTTGTCAGTCTCGCACTCGGTGTCTGTCTCAGTGTATCGATGCCTCGGTGTCTTGGTGTCTCACTCTCGATGCCTCGATGTCTCATTGAAGGCCAACGACGGAAAATTTTATTTTAATTTTTTTTTTGAAAAATAATTATAAATCCAAAACTTTGAGAGTATCGAAAAAAAAAACGGAATATATGTCAGAGAAGTGGTCCATGTGCACCTACATGCCAATTGTTAGAAGAATCGGTTCAAAAATGTGGGAGTTATTTAAAATTTTATGACGTCACGACACACACATTTTTGAAAAATGGATTTTTTTAGAAGTTCTAGACCTCAAACGGAAGCAAAAATAGCACCATTCAGTTTGCTGTGAAAAACTGCATCAGATATACATCTTGTAGGCCTTAACAGCCAACTTCAAAATTTGACCTCACTTGACCTGACCTCGACGGTCGACCTGAAATTCATCCAGATGTGGCCCATATCACTTTTTTGAGTGTGCCTATTGAATTCTATGAATAAAATGACCCATAAAACATGTGTCGCACATGCCCTTTTCTATATTTTGTTTTTGGTGACCTGACCTGACCTGACCTGACCTGACCTTGACCTTGACCTTTGTTTGAATGATATTGTATGCAACGAATATTGTCTTGGTAGCCTAAGAACACGTTTTGGGCAATCAGTCTCAGTCCATTCTTCGGCAACTACGGTGCAAGGCCGATACTGTAGAAACTTGCAATTTGTCCCCTTGACCTGACCTTGACATGACCTCTGACCTACTTCAGCAAAAAAAAAATTGGGCTCTTAAGATCCGTCTTGTTGAGAGCTTTCGATTACCGTTTTCCCCGTCTTTCTACGACCATCGGTTCGGAAGTTAGACGGGGGGGGGGCAGAATCTGCCCCCCCCCAGCAGGGCGCGTATGGCTGAATAGCCCAGCGGGGCGCGGGTTAAAGATTGTTCTGGAATGACGGAACCATTTACCAATTAACGATGTTGTTGACAAATAACTGGTAAGTGAGATCAAACAAAACTAGGGACCATATGCTATATGTAATCTGGTCCTGGTTACGAGAAAGACTTAGGGTGGCAGACTTCCCCCCGCTTCCCCGATAAGACATCATTTTGCAATTTTTGAAGTTATAGAGCAACAACCACAACTTGACCAACAATTTTTCTTAGACTGCAGTTTTTTACAGTTGGCTGTGTTTTTTTTATAACACTACTTCATTCAATAGCCACATGGTGTATTGGGCGACTCGTAATTTGGATGCAGCACACTGTGGAGAGTGTAGTGAGCCACTGCGCCGGTCGGCCGCAGTCGGCCGCGGCACCAGTCGCAGGCCTAGGCCCGCAGGCCGCGGTGTCCGGCAGTGTCACACTCGTCAGACTCGTAGCTCCAGATGCAGGTGCTGGCCGTGGCGTCAAACACGGTGCCGTTCGCGCACTCCTCCTGTGTGACCTCCCAGTGGTCGCCGTTCCAGACGCAGGCGTAGAAGACGGGCGAGCAGGTGCGGTCCGGGTCCGGGTTGAGGCCGGGGTTCTTGCAGATGTGACTGGGAGGCGCCGTCGGCGCCGGCGGCTCGGTGGTGACCGGTGTGTCGGTCGGCTGGCCGGTCGGCTGCGGGCCGGGCGTGGGCTGGGGGATGTCGCCGTTCAGGCTGGTCCAGATGGCGTTCATCAGCGGGTTGGTGGTGCCGAAGCCGCACAGGCCGCGGAAGTCGTCCGTCTCCACCGACCAAACCATCGACCCTCCCAGGTCCATGTCCTTGATGTACTGCGTCTTGAGGTTGATGGACTCGAGGTCGTCGTATCCCACCCACAGTAGGTCTTTGTAGCTGTAGATGGCCTTTTGGTCTGGGTCGCGTACGGACGTCCAGCCGCCCTCGTCCAGGTACACGCAGATCTCATTGAAGCCACATACGCCGGCGGTGCGAGTGTACGGACAGGCCGGCATCCCTCCCGACATGGGCGCGTACAGGCCGTGTTGGTTCCGGTCGGCCAGCGTGAAGCCGCGCCCGTACAGCGGGATGCCCATGGCGATCTTGTGCGGCGGCACTCCGCCCTCGATGTAGTAGTTGACGGTGAAGTTGACACTGAAGTACTGATAGGCCTCGTGGCCGGGCTCCAGGTCCTGTGGTGACAGGTATAGCGGCGCCACGTGGCCCGTGAACGGGTCGAACGCACCGTGGTAGTCGTACGCCATCACGTTGAAAATGTCCAGGTACTGGGCCATGATGTCGAGGTCGTAGGACTCGTCGATGGTGGTCTTGCCAGGTCCAACGGCGGCGCTGAGCAAAAGACCCTCGGGCTCGAACGCCGTCTTGAGCTCTTTGATCAGCAAGGCGTAGTCAGTCTTGTCGATGGGCTGTCCTCCCCTCTCGGCAGGGTATTCCCAGTCCATGTCCAGACCGTCAAAGTTGTACTTCTTCAGGAACTGAACGCAGCTCTGGATGAAGGTGGTGCGCTTTGACGCATCAGCTGCCATCGATGAGTACTTCTCCGAGCCCTCGTTCCATCCGCCGATGGCCAGAATGGCCTTGAAGTTGGGATTGAGCTTCTTTAGGTTGGTGAAGCGAATGAAGCCGCCTTTGCCATAGTTATCATACAGATCGTTCCACGGGTCCAGCGACTTGATCTGGTTGGTGTTGGGATCCAGACCGGCAAAGCCGTAGATGCCATGGGTACAGAGGTACGGGTTGAAGTCCTCAATGTCGAACTTGCCCAGTCCGGGCCGATACACCGCCCAGGTGCCGTAGTAGCAGGTGGCCATGTACCGGGGACTGGTGACACCGTCACCAGCAGCGGCCGCGGCCGTCGCCACGGTCGCCAGCAGCACAGCGCGCAGCATGGCCAGGAGCCACTGAGGAGTGGGTGAATGAGAGCGGCTGCCGCACCGACACCGTCTGTCCAGGAGTGGCGCACGTCCCGGAGTGGTGTGTCGGGCCGCTGCGGCGGCAGCCGAGCCGTCCCACGGTGCCACCCCCTGCAGACGCTCCCACGAGCCGCACCCGGCTGATAAACAGCGGCGCCAGACGGTGCAGGCTCCGAGTTTCTGGGTGCGCCAGACCAAGCAGCATAGAAACCAGGGCCTCGTCTAACATTTAGCTGTGGCGGTGGGGGCAAACCCCCGAAGTCACCGGCCAGGCCCCCCCTCCCAGTCGGGGCAAAAATGTCACCACTGGGGGGGGGGGGGGGGGGGGGGGCTCGAAAGCGAAAGCGGGTCGGCAAAAGCGAAAAGGCAAACGAATTTTACTGAGAGTTGTCAGTACGCATAAATAAATGCGTAACCGAAACATGGATGCAATGTGGGCACATTGACATAGGGGAGGACCATACAAGAGTACGCACCTAATGCATTTTGTCGTTTCACACCGTTCGGTTTTGGTCTACGGCTACGATCAGTATATTCCGATAAAGCCTGATCATTTGTCCACAAACTGTCATGACCACAGCGGCCTACGTCCAATTTAAAGCGTGACGTAAGCAATTTTCTAACACCCTGCATTTGCGTACTCTTGCCCGATAGGCAGTACAAGAGTACGCACTTCGTGCGGGTGGAGTACGCACTTCGTGCGGGTGGAGTACGCACTACGTGTATGCATTCCTACTCGCTGGAATCAATGCATTCATGCAAGTAATTAAACTATTGTTATCTTTATTGCCGCAGCCACTAAAACGGTCACTCTTAACAGAGTCGAGGCGCCCCGCTGTGGTCGTGCAAATGCCCCCTGGTCTACCAGAAACAGTGATGCTCTTCGTGGTTTCCCCAACTGCTCGGCGTCCCCCCGAGTGTCATCCACCTTGTTGGCCAATCCCGTGAATGTGCTGAGGGGTTGCGCGCCTGATGCACTAAGTTGATTAATGCAACACAACCACGCACTCGGAAAACTGCGTACTCTTGTCCGCCACGGCAATGCGTACTCATGGCCGACACATACGGTAGACACAAAGCTGGCTGAGAGCTGGCGCCACAGTCGTCGCGTAAACAATTGGGACTTGACACACACACCAGATTCCCCGTGGTATCTTGTTAGGAAAAAATGAAAATTCTATTGCCGCTCCCTGAGGAAGGTCACACCTTTTCCTTCACCCCAAAAAGTCTAAAAAGCGATGTGAAAAACACGTCTAAGCCTCTAAAAAAGACAAGTGAGCCCGTAGCGCGCCCACCTTCCACCATCGAAGCCGCGTGACTGAGAGAGAGCTTCCTTAGGACTCGAGATGACGCTGATGAGGCGTTGCTAAGCAACCGAAACAGCTGCTGCGTACTCCTGTCGCCTGCGTCCTCTTACCCGCCTTTACCCTACCCGATTACCTGTGGCTGTTTTCACGTGTTTATTTTGTTTATTTGATACCAATCTTCTTTCGCTCTGCAACACGTTACATTTCGTCTTTTCAGGCGACTCAACTCCGTGTCCCGGACATTCTCCTTTACGTATCAATATATTGTTTCTGTCCTTGGGGCGACATTCTGTTGTTTTTTACCTATCGTCGTCCTCACTATAAACGTGACGTCCAACTTCTGGCTGGACGGTCACCGGTGTGCGGCGAGAGTAGCTAATTGTAATGAAGTAGGTTCCTATTCTGGGTGATGGTAAGCGCAGCTTGGTGGTCTGTCTGTGGAGACGGGAACATACATATAGTAAGTTTCAAATCGGATCAAACCAAACCTGACCTAACTTCACCTACAACCTACAACCAAAAACCCGCAACCTACTCGTACAACCTAAAACCTACCACCTAAAACCTAAAATCTACAACCTACAGCCTAAGCTACAGCGTCTCTCCTTGGTTGCAAAAAGAAGTGTGATGCCTGCTTTACTACTCCCCAAAATAGTACCATTTAACCTTGCCAAGTTGAGCTTTCCTTGATTTGTCCATGTTTTAAAATGTTGGGGAGAGGGCTGACTGGCAAGTTGGGGGGGGGGGCTGACCAGCCAGTTGGGGGGGGGGGGGCTGAAGCCCCCCCAACTGTATAGGATCCTACGCCCCTGGACTGGACTGTATATACCTATCATGTTTATAAAGAGAAAAAAAAACAAAGCAAAACGAAATGAAAAGGACAAAACAAAACGCCGCATAATACAGGGCGTTGCAGGTAAACCCGACACTTGAGAGGCAAAATACGAAATCGGCAATGAAAGCATGAATATTGCACGCACAGGCCTGGCATTTTATTCAGCACCAGTTCGAGTCATATGCTGCACTTCTACTCGATGTAACCGCCGTCGGCGGCGACGACCATCTCAAGCCGAGGGCGAAATGATTCGTACGCCTTGGCGACCGTGTCCTTGTCTACGGCGGCGAACTCTGCCACGATGGCGGCCTTGAGAGAGTCGACGGTATTGTGTGCGTGCTTGTTGGTCTTGGCCTCGATCACGCCCCAGAAGAAATAATCGAGGGGGTTGCGGTCAGGTGAGGAGGGCGGCCACAAGTCCGGCGACCAGTGGTGAGGGACGTTGTTGAGCAGCCACGCCTGCGTCGTCCTGGCTGGCCTTTGTGCGCCGGGGCGGAGTCTTGCTGGAAGACGTAGGGGCGTCCGTTGGCACGCCCCTACGGTGTTTTGGGGAGGCAATTGATCATAGAGATGTTGTAACATACTGCCCAAACTTTTCATCGTGAGCACAGAGCATAGCACTCGAATAAACACGTTTTTTTCAAGTGTCGGATTTACCTGCAACGCCCAAAAAAAGTGTAGGTAGGACAAACCGGGAATACACAGAAAATCACTAAATATTACCTCTCCTAGTGATCTAGGTATTTGTAGTAAGCACATATCAGATATTCGTTTATGCAAGTATGCATATGTATATTACCCCTACATATTGGTAAAGGGTGGTATTTTAGTAGCGAGTATGTGAGTGATTGGATTTCTAAATTATATGACGGTAGCTACTAGCTATCCATCCTACCAAGTAACACCAGAAGGTGTTTGACAGTTGACACTCCTCAGAACATATACAATGCGAACAAAGTATGCGGTCACAGTCGCAGCGCAGGCACTTACGGGCCCCCAAGAAGGCCCCCACATAAATATTTAAGGGAGACCGGGGTTAGTTGGGCCAGTTTTTACTTGAAGCGTCATAACTACGGTATAACTATTAGGTACATATCATTATTTGTTGACTGTTAACTGAGAGCTTATTTCTTCATCTTTTAAAGAAGACTTAACCCGGCAGTTGCTGGGGTATTTCGCCACCCACCGTTTGCTGGGGGGGGGGGGCGTTAAACGCCCCCAGCCGATAACTCGAGAACCAATAGGCGCAGCGAAACGCACGAGGCGGCAAACGAAAGAACGCGACGAGACGCTTCAGATGAGTACTTTTAAGTTGAATTTTGAGGTCACAGGTCAGGTCAAGGTCAGGTCAAACACCTGAAATCGGGCTTTCAGTAGCATGGACTTCAGGACTTCGCAATGGGCGCCTCTCGTCATAAACTCTGTCAAAACGGTGCACAATCTATCATATAAGGCCTACAAGAGTGTCAGCTCCATGTAAGAGTCAGTCAAGCATAGGTCAGGGTCAAGGTCAGGTCAACCGGGTAGGCACATATCCCCGAAAATCAAAACTAATATTCGCAGCCTGTGACACATGTTTTATGGCTAAATTGGGGCGTAGAACACGATGGTGACATTCATTTTACCATATGTGTACGTGTTTGGCTAAAAAAGTTCAATTTAAGAAATGCATGTATCATGGTCGTGAAGTAGTCACGAGAAATTGCCAAGATTCAGTTCAAGATTTTGGAAAATGCGGAATGATAATCAACAATCGAAGATAGCCATTTGATTGTACATGGTATTGGCAGTCTAATGGCGTTTACGGCATGTCTTTATGTCTATCCTGTGATTTTATATGATTTTTTGAACATATGCCGTTTTTGGTCGAAAACTCAGAAATCATGACGTCACTAAAACCTCGATATCTCAAAAATTTTCCGACCGATTTTTTTTAAACTTTGTCACAATAAACTTCAATCAATTCCCTACAGGTACCCAAAATTTGGCGCGCCTGCGGCGCGCCGTTTTTATGCTATGGCCCGGCGAAAAAACGGGGGGCGTTTAACGCCCCCCCCCAGCAACTCGCGGGTTAATATGAGAGAGATGGTAATATCGTCTTGGTGTCATATCTGATCAAAGCAACCATCCCCCAATGTCCCAACTTACCCAACCAATGTGAGTCGGGCCAGGGTTGGGGCAAGTTGGGGTGCACTAGGAAAAACAGTGTATCTCAACACATTTTTATTCATGTTTTACATGAACAATCTTCGCTAATCCATGCGGGCATGTTTATCAACATTTAATGACAAAACGCAAACGTTTGTAGTTCTTCTGCGTCAAACAAAAACGCACACACGCAAAATATGTATGACCAGCTTCAGGTGCTTTAACCCGCGCCCTGCTGGGGGGGTGTTTGAACACCCCCCCTTGTGGTTTTTCGCGAATATCTCAAAAACGGCGGCGCGGAGCGCCGCCGTTTTTGGTACGCCTTATCATACATCAATTCTACACATGTTGTGAAAATTTCAGACCAAAGTCATTCAAGGTCAGGTCACCAGGTCACTTGAAGTGACCTCACCTCATAAAAAGTTTCAATGTCTGTCATAGCTACACCGAGTGACCGATCGCTTTGAAACTTTCAGCGATTGCTAAGAGCAATAGCATGTACAAAATGTATATCTCAGAATTTTGATATCGATGACCTAAGGTCAGGTCAATTTTGCGACCTCCCCATTATAAGTCAATGGGAGAAAATTGAAATGCGCCTCTTTTGGACGAAAGACATTATAACCACTCCCAAACACTGAATTACAAGTGGTTTGGACACACTGAACACGAAAATGGTGTCCGTGACCCCTGTTTATGCCCTGAGGTCATCTTAGGTCACGAATGGTATCTAACAGTTTTTCGCAAATAACTTTTGATAGAGGCATGCTAGAGCGATGAAAACGCATTAGATGTGTTCAGCTCGACGATACGGATCGACTGATATGCAACATGACCCTTTCCGGTCAGGTCATGACCTTGACCTGAGGTCAAATTTTCAAGTTGACCTTTCAAGGTCAAGTTATAGTTCAGTCGATGCGTCTTGACGAGAGGAACACGATGCCGGTAAAAGTAAGCTCGTACAAGGCTTGGGTCAAAAGTTATTGCAGAAAAACTGTTTCCGAAAAAATCGGTTATTTTTGCAGTTTTTGCCCACTGCAGGCAAAACCGTTGACGTTAGGTCAAATCTGAGACAATTACTCAGAAAGGGCGTTAATAGGGCTATCGAATGCGCTTTTCCGCGGCGCTGTAGCTCTATTGGTTCCCGAGTTATGCGTTGGCTTCTTGGAAATTTTCGACATTCGACCTGGAAATCGGTGAAATTTTGCCTTCAATGACCTCTGGTGACCTGACCTTTGACCTGACCAAAAATTGACCGAAGTAATTTCCTCATTATTTTTGACGCTCTTTCGAACGCCGCCTTCCGCGTATCGCTACGTAGCCCAGGAGCCGAGTTAGAAGGGGGGGTGTTCAGACACCCCCCAGCAGGGCGTGGAAATCCAGGACCCCCAGCCGGGCGCGGGTTAAAGGGACCCTCCCACCTTCAAAAAAGTTAATGAATTGGCATGAAAGTGATGTCGCTCGATTCAGAAAGAGCAAAAACGAATATCTACCAAATTTCACCGAAAAATATTCACCCGTTTTCAAGATATTAGACTTTTACTTTTGTTTACTTTTTTGGGATCTCCGCTATTCCTAGCGACTTCATTTTAGAAGTGCGGCGTTCGCGGCAGATGTTGCGCGCAAAAAGCATATACCACCACTGCTTTACAAAGATGTTAGTATAAGGCTAACATCTTTGTAATAAAGATGTTAGTATTAGTTAAAATCGTTAGATTACCGCTGACGTCACAAATTCTAAGGGGGCATCTCAATGCATTAGCCCCTTAGAATCCGAAAACTGTGAGTTTCAAATTCCATATCTCCGAATTAAAGCATTTTTCGATGTTGTGAGTGCCCAAACCGGTATTTGCAGGCCATGGCCACCAATTTGGCTATCTCAACTCAAAACTAATGTTAAGGTGGGAGGGTCCCTTTAAAGGGACCCTCCCACCTTCAAAAAAGTTAATGAATCGGCATGAAAGTGATGTCGCTCGGTTCAGAAAGAGCAAAAACGAATATCTACCAAATTTCATCGAAAAATATTCACCGGTTTTCAAGATATTAGACTTTTACTTTTGTTTACTTCTTGGGATCTCCGCTGTTCCTAACGACTTTATTTGAAAGTGCGGCATTTGTTGCGCGCAAAGCAGCATATACCACCGCGTGCTACAAAACGTTTTAGTCAAACATTTAACGGACGTTCGAAAGCCTGATGACGTCATCAGACTCCCGTAATGGTTAAGAGATAGGGACCACGCTGGTCCCACCCTGCAAGTAAAGGGAAGAAATTTCTTGAACACCATAAAGCTGCGGGGGTTGCGACCAGGATAAATGGTGGTTTCTGAGCCTGGCCGCAAACTTGGCTATCTCAACTCAAAACTAATGTTAAGGTGGGAGGGTCCCTTTAACCCGCGCACCGACGGGGGTCTGCGCCAACTTCGCACCGACGGGGGGGGCGGATGACCGCCCCCCCCCTGAGATCTCGAGAACGAAGCAAGATAGCGACAAGCGGTAAACGGCATCGGATACGCACGGACAAGGTCTACAATTTTTACAAAGATCATTTTCAGGTCAGGTCAAAGATGACGTCACAGGGGTCGAAAAAGTCAAAATGGCGGCGCTAGATATGGATAGAGTTTTTCTCGAATAACTTTCGAATTAGTCAAGATAGGAACAAACTAAGGGCATTATCGTAATCCTCTCGTCAATCCGCATCGAATGTTATATATGTTGACCTCGAAAGGTCAAGGTCAAAGGTTGACCTCAGGTCACGTGACCTCGAGGTCATCATGTATATCATTCGATGCGTCTTGACGAGCTGAACACAATGAGACCATCCGCGCGGCTGTATCTTGTTCCTGTACGGAGTTATTGGCCAAAAACCTTTGGTGACCTTTGATGACGTCACATGACCTTACAGCTGCCCAACAGCAAAACAGACCTCAAGGTAGGCGTATTTGGAAATTCCGACCTCGACGAGCGTCTGTGGTAGAAAACCACCACTTTGGTAGGGGAAACTTCTGCTGCCTGCTACCGTTTGCACTGCATGTCTCGCTGTAGTTGCGACCGATTGCAACATCTATGCAAGTCAGCAAGGGTACGTACCTTAGCGATATACGTACTTTATAATTTACGTACTTTTTCGATGCGTATTTTCGTCTTTGACGTACTTTTGTCTAGGTATACGTACTTTGTACTGTACGTATCTACCTCTGCGATACGCCTACTTCTGTCCTTGACGTAGGTACTTATTCCATACGTACTTTATACTCGACGTACTTTTGCGATACGTACTTATGCCTTGACGTACTCTTGTCAATACCTCCTTTATGCTGTACCCACTTTTGTTTGTTTGTTTTGTTTGTTTTGTTGG